CCCCCTACACCACTTTTACTGTTATTTTAAACACCCTAACCGTGAGGTTCCCTACACCACCTTTTAGTCTTTTAAATCTTATATCCTACAGTTGTTGGGGTTCCAAACCCTTTTTTAATCCTTATCCCCTTATCCTAGACGGGGGTTTTCCCCTACATCCTTGTTTAGCCTGTTATTTTTCCCCCTAGGCTGTTTGGGTTTTCTCAACCCCCTTATTAGTTGATTTTCTTTCCCAAAAGGGATTTTTAAGTCCCTTTGAATTTTTCTTATCTACGGGAAAGAAAAATTTAGATACTTGCAAAAGATGAAACTGTAAAACCCTTTTTTTAACTAAAAAAAAGACCCCAAACCCCCAAACCCTTTGCGGGGGGGGGGAAAGCCAACAAGAAAAATACCCCGCAGTGCGGGTTTGGCTGCAGTTATTCCCAAAAAACAAATTCAACATTAAATCCCAAAAACGGGGAGCACCTTTGACAGACCTGGGGGGAACCCGGGTGTGATGTTTCAAAGTGGGGTCCCAATGGTGGGTGAACATGTAACGAGGGAAACCCTACCAGTGGTGGCTGCTTCAGTTTGCAGATGCTCCCAATGGGGGGGGGCAGCAGCCGTAGCTAAAATGCCTACATGGGAGTAGGGGGGTGTGGCAGCTGTAAACAACATTTGTGTTTCTCGTTTTTGGTTGCTGTGACTTTCTGTGGATCTCGTGGGGTTGCTTGGTGGTCACCCCCAAAAGCAACGGGGAAAGAAACACAATGTGTACACTTGGTACAAAATTAAAGGAGGCAGGGAAGAAAGGCGGCAAAAAAACCCCCTTTAAAACGGTTTTAATGTGGGGACCCCTTGATTTTAATGGTACACTTGTGTACAAAAAAGATGGGGAGGCAGAAAAGAAGTCGGCAAAAAAAAAACACTGTTTTGGGTTAATTTATGTACCATTGATGTCAATGTGTACCCTTGTTTACAAAAAGTGAGGGGCAGAGAAAAAAAGGGTGGCAAACAGAAGACCTGATTTTAAGGGTTTAAACTGTGTGTCCCAAAATTGATTTTAAATGTGTACAATTAGGGGTTTCCCATCCGGTTTGTGTGTAAAATGCAACTTGTCTGCTAAACTTTAAAGGTGTTGTTTCATATGTGGGAAGTCTAAAAATTTAAGCCCAAAAATTTGCTTTTGGGAAAAAAAAAAAAGAAAAAGGCATAAAAACTTAAAAACCCTTCTTTTTTTCAATATTTTTCCACCTACTTTGGTGCACTTGTCCCTCTTTTTACCCTCCTCCCAAACCTGCGCACAAAATTTTGCTTTGCTCTGTTTTTTAAAACCACATTTTATTCAAAATTTTCAACTTTCTTCATTGAAAAAATTTTTCCCCCCCTCGATTTTTTAATTTTCTCCTTTGAATTCCCTCATGGTGTATAAATCAGGGTTTCCCCCCTTGGCCCCGGGTTTGGGAAAAAAAAAAATTTATTTAAAAAGAAATCGTTGACAATACCAGAATACTGTAGCATAGCAAAGAAGGAGTTTCCATTGCACTGAAGCATGCTTTGATTGTGTTTCCCTCCATTATTATCCCCAGTAATAACCTTTTCAGCATGCCCTTTCTCCTTCTTTCTGCGTATCGAGATGTGCAAGGACAGGCCTAATAGGTTCATTTTGTTTTTTCATCCATTTTTGGGTACCCACCTTGAGCCCCAAATTATGTTGTATGCCGAACTATGTAAACACCCTAATGCAGCTTTACAGAGTTCAACGGGTTTCTCGCCTTTACCACTAAACAAACTCCTCCCCGCCGGGATGGATTTTGGGCCCGTTGCAATCTCAACAGGACAAAAAAACAGACTTCTTTATCAACCCATTTTTACAGCACCCTTTAGCAATTTTAAAAATTTTTTTTTACCCCCTATGCAGGCTTTTTCAAAATTTAAAATTTGTCAGCAAAAAACAGAAAAAAATTTCTCATGAAATTTTTTTTGCAGGCCAAACCCCTTTTGGACCCCTCCCCCCCCCCAAAACCGCACAAAACAAGTTGTTTTTTAAAGGGACCCTCTGCCAAATTCAGCATCATTTTGTTTGCACCCTGCGCACGCAAAAACCCAGCACCCCCCCTTTAAAAAAGGAACAAAAAAGTTTTAAAGTTGGGTGTCCCTAAGATCCTTTGGAAACCACCCCAAAGACACTTTTCCCGAATCCCATAAATTGTAGGGCACCAACTTGGGGGCCCAAAAAAAATTTTGTGTGTTGCTCCATGTTTTGGGTGCTGACCTCTAAAAGTGTGTGTTTCTGACATCTATGTGTGTCTGTTGACATCCATGTGTGGGGTTTTTTTACTCTAGTAAAGTGGGGTGATGACATCCATTTTGTTTGTGCTGACCCAAGTCTGTGTGTGCTGACATCCTGTGTGGGGTGCTGAAAAATTGGGGTTTTGTGTGTGTGCTGAAATCTGAGTGTTTGTGCTGAAAAACCATGTGTGTGTGCTGACAAACCATTTTTTGTGCTGGACATCTGAGGGGGTGTGCTGATATCCATGTGTGTGTGCTGACATCCATTGGTGTTTTGCTGCCCTCCCGGGGTGGGGTGCTGGGCATCATGTTGTTGCTGACATCTGGGGGTTTTGTGTGACATCCATTTTGTGTGTGCTGCCCTCCCCGTGTGTTGTGCTGACATCTGAGTGTGTGTACTGACATTTTGAGTTGGGGGTGCTGACATCCCCGTGGGTGTGCTGACATCCTGTGTGTTGCTGACATCCACGGGTGTGTGCCCGGGCATCCATGTGTGGGGTGCCCGACATCCATGTGTGTGTGCTGACTCCATTGGGTGTGCTGCAAACCATGTGGTTGGCTGAACCAAGGGGGTGTGCTGACATCCACGTGTGTGTGCTGACAAACCACGGTTGTGCCCGACATCCCAAATGTGTGTGTTGACATTGAGTGTTTGTGCTGATATCCCGTGAGTGTGCTGAAAAACCCCGTGTGTGTGTGAAAAACCATGTGTGTTTGCGCATCCCCGTGTTTTGCTGACACCCCTTTTGTGTATGCTGACCTCCATGTGTTTTGGGGCTGATATCCAGGCTTTTTTGTATCCAAAGTGTGTGTGCTGACATTTCCCTGTTTTTGGGGACTGAAAATCCATGTGTGTGTGCTAAATCCATGTTTGTGTGTGACATTCATATGTGGGTTTTTTGTGCTGACATTTATGTGGTGTGTGAAATCTATGTGTGTTGCTGACATCCACGTGTGGGGCCCGACATCCATGTGTGTGTGCGAAATCCATTTGTGGTTTCTGAAATCCATAGGTGTATGCCCGACATCCATATGTGTGGTTTTGACATCCATATTGTGTATGTGATATCTATTTGCTGAAACCAGGTGTGTTTGTGTGTGACATCCATGTGTGTGTGACCCCATGTGTGTGTGCTGACATCTTGGTGTGTGGCTGACCTCTAGTGTGTGTTCTGACATCTTTGTTGTTTGGTGTGTGTGTGTGCTGACATCTATGTGTTGTTTTGTGTGCTGGGAAAACTATGTGTGGTTTTGCTGAATCTATGTGTTTTATGTGCATCCCATGGGGTGTAGCTGAAACCCCTGTTGTGTGCTGACATCCATGTGTGTTGTTGGAAAACCCCAATTGGGCATAAACCCGGACCCCGTAATAAAGGGAGTTCCCCACAGGGAAAAATTTTTCTCAAAAAACACAACAAAAAAGCAGTCACAAAGGGAAAAGGGCCCCAACCTGGGGGCCCGGGTTCCATATTATTACAAGTATTTTGGGATCTTTGCAACAGACATGGCCAGGTTTGGGGCGGGCCCCTTAAAAAAACACTCACATACCCTCAGTTAGACCCCATTATGACAGCTGATGTGAAAACCCCCTTTTTTATGACAACACCCCCCGAAAAAACAATAAAAAGCTAAAGAATCTTTTCAGATACTACCTTTGCATGGTTTGGGAAAAGGGTCCTACACTTTTTTTTGTAAAAATGTCAAAATTCCCGGGCGGGTGGTTTTTTTCAAAAAAAAGAAAAACCCGGAAATGGTTTTTGAACCCTAAGGGGTAGAAAAAAAATAAAAACAGAAGCAACCCAAAGAAATTTTAATCGTTTTTAAAATTAAACCCAAAATTACTTTGGTTATGCGGGGTAAATTTGTATTGGGGTTGGGGGGGGAATTTTAGGAAAAATGAAGGCAGGGAAAAAACAAGAAAAAAAAGTGTGTACACAAAAAAGGATGGGCAGCTCATAAAAACCCGACCAGGAAACAGTGCAGAGAAAAATCCCTTTAAGGGGACTATGAAAACTTGGAGTCCCATTTAAAAAAATTAAAGGGAAACACAAAAATTAATTTTGGGGGGGGGGGGGGGGAGAATATGTACAATGAACCTCAAGGGGCCCGAAAGCAGAAAAAAAAAAAAAAAGAATGAAAATAACATGACTATAGCAAACCACACAGGAACCTAACAGACTGGACAAGAGCCTTTTCAACTGGTATGGAGTCTTAAAATCTAAAAAAAAATTTTCGGGAGCAAATTTTTTTTATATGCCAAAAAAAAGAGAGAAAAGCCTTATTAAAACCTCTTTAAAATCTTAAAAAAATCTTTTTTATCCATCAAAAAAAAAAAAAAAAAAAAAAAAAAAAAAAAAAGGGGGGAATGGGGAGTGAGAAGAAAAAACCCCACAAGCGGGATAACTTATCATCATGAGGGCAAACCAGACGGAAATGGGGTTTTGGGGTTTAAACCCCCCATATCCCCCCCAAAACCCCCCGGCTAAAAAATTCCCCCATTTCCAAAATAAAAAACCCCAACCAATTAAAAAAATTTTTTTCCAATTAGGAATTCCCCCCTCAACATCCCTTTTTCCCCCCCAAAAAAAACCCCCCCCCCCAAAATCAACCAAAAATTAGATAACGAAAACTGCCAAACATCTTTTTTAAAAATTTTAAACCCTTTTTCCCCAAAATTTCCCTTTTCCCCTAAAATTTTTCCAGGGTTTCTCTTCTCATAATTGGTTAAATATCAACTGCCTATGACCAATGCTTTGATATCTTAGTTTTACTACTTCAATCAATGATGCAGTTTGGCTGTGATGGCTATCTTCAGCCAATGTCCAGCCAATCCAATCTCTGAAGGCCAGCTATGACTCCTGCAGGCCTTGTCAGCTCATTATTGATCAGGACTGTTTCCTTGACATCATCAATTTTCAAAAATCCTGTTCCCAAGACTCAGAAAAGGGGCATTTTTATTGCACCATGGGAGAGGTACTGTAAGAAATGTTCTTGAAAAGGGGCATTTTAATTGCACAATGGGACAAGGGAGACAAGAACACCGACCAGATTCAGGTCTGGCATTCAAGGGACAGTGACATGAAGAAGCATAGCTGCACTGATTATCAACAAGGCACTGATGATGATAAAAATAATGATATAAACTGGCGCATACAATAAGGATGATGATATAACAGCCCTACATACTTACGGCCTAGCAAGGACTGGGACCAATCAGGCCGGATGGGAGACAGTGGCTGTATAGAGGAGCTGTGTTTAGACAACCCGCCATAAGTCATGGCATAAAACTCTTCATGGCTTATTATCTTGTGATCATCATAGGCCTTTCTGTTTTCTGAAAACAAGAGAGTGGTGCTGTTGCAGTCAATAGTATGTATGCAGTAATATGTTTCGTCGTGTTCCTTACATGGAGTAATATGTTACGTGTTCCTTACATGTAGTAATATGTTTCCTGTTCCTTACCTGCAGTAATATGATACATGTTCCTTACATGCAGTAATATGTTGTTACATCTTCCTTACATGCAGTAATATGTTACGTGTTCCTTACATGCAGTAATATGTTACATGTTCCTTACATGCAGTAATGTCACCGTGTTCCTCACATGCAGTAATGTCACATGTTCCTTACATGCAGTTAAATGTTGCGTGTTACTTACATGCAATAAAATGTTACGTGTTCCTTACATGCAGTTAAATGTTACATTTCCTTACATGCAATAAAAAGTTATGTGTTCCTTACATGCAATAAAAAGTTACGTGTTCCTTACATGCAATAAAATGTTACATGTTCCTTACATGCAGTTAAATGTTACATGTTCCTTACATGCAATAAAATATTACGTGTTCCTTACATGCAGTTAAATGTTACATGTTCCTTACATGCAATAAAAAGTTACGTGTTCCTTACATGCAATAAAAAGTTACGTGTTCCTTACATGCAATAAAATGTTACGTGTTCCTTACATGCAGTTAAATGTTACATGTTCCTTACATGCAATAAAATGTTACGTGTTCCTTACATGCAGTTAAATGTTACATGATCCTTACATGCAATAAAAAGTTACGTGTTCCTTACATACAGTTAAAACAAAAACAGGTTACATGTTCCTGACATCCAGGAACATTGTATATATTCCTTACACCCAGAAAGATAAAAAACTTTTCTTCTGTAAAGGAGCTATAATTTATGATGTTAGAACCATCAAAACCAAGAGGGAAAAACAACACAGCACCAAAACAACTGAGGGTAAAGAAAACATGATCAAGATCAGACAATTAAGGGAGTTTACATGTAATAAAACAGTTCCTGGTTAAAGGAATCTTGTGGTGGAAAAGTGGACAGGAAGAGATTGACTGGAAGCAAGTGCAGGAAGAGACTGACTGGAAGCAAGGGGACAGGAAGAGATTGACTGGAAGCAAGTGGACAGGAAGAGATTGACTGGAAGCAAGGGGACAGGAAGAGATTGACTGGAAGCAAGTGCAGGGAGAGACTGACTGGAAGCAAGGGGACAGGAAGAGATTGACTGGAAGCAAGTGGACAGGAAGAGACTAACTGGAAGCAAGGGGACAGGAAGAGACTGACTGGAAGCAAGGGGACAGGAAGAGACTGACTGGAAGCAAGGGGACAAGAAGAGATTGACTGGAAGCACGGGGACAGGAAGAGACTGACTGGAAGCAAGGGGACAGGAAGAGATTGACTGGAAGCAAGTGGACAGGAAGAGATTGACTGGAAGCAAGTGGACAGGAAGAGATTGACTGGAAGCAAGGGGACAGGAAGAGACTGACTGGAAGCAAGGGGACAGGAAGAGATTGACTGGAAGCAAGGGGACAGGAAGAGATTGACTGGAAGCAAGTGCAGGAAGAGACTGACTGGAAGCAAGGGGACAAGAAGAGATTGACTGGAAGCAAGGGGACAGGAAGAGACTGACTGGAAGCAATCTGTATGAGTGTACAATTAAAACAATTTTAGAACAGAGGATGATGGAAATTCTTTACAGTCGACATTCAGTATGAAGATGACACTTGATAGATGAAATCATTATCCAGTACACATTGATGACCCCCCCCCCCCCTTCACCCGAGAAATGGGCTAGAGTCAGTCGACAGTGAAATAGCTAATGTCTTATCAACCTAAAATTAATCAAACCAGACCATATTTACTGTACTGCAGCATCACCTGATTATACCCCAGCATACCTCTCAGCAGATGTGAAATTTTAGTAGTGGTCATGCACACACTACTTTCTGAGCTTTGAGAGGGAAAGGAGAGCACATCACCACAATCCCCCCAGAGACAGTACTTAGCTGCTGGATGAGAAGAAAGTGTCTACATCAAGCTCACTCAGCTCGATGAAGCACTACAAAGTCTAGCCTGAATCCCATCAGATCTGAGACCTCCCTCTGATGTTGTAGAGCAGGTTGTAAGTCCCAATGATCACAAGAGATATGTGGATTGTAGATTACCTACTGATAAAACTCCCAATTTCAGGCAAGCCAAGGAATAGAAGGAGTCGCAGTCCTCACAAGATTGTGCAAAGAAACTCACTTCATGAAGGCCAGTCTGTTAAAATGGTCTGCAAGAATATTAATTAGCTAGAAAAAACAATGTGATAAATACCAGTGTAAAACATTATCCGATTGATTGAATTGCTCCTTTTTTGTCTTTCTCACAGCTCATGGTGATGGCGAGTGTGACTAGCAAGACTCACCTGTGTCAAGAAGTCTTCCACAATAACAGAATGGGACTTCAGGACCACTGTTGTCAACATTTGTGTTTAATCCAATTCTTGTCAGATGCTTAGCTTTCATCTTTTCTGCAATCCTTTCTTCCTTCAGTTACATTCCCTTACTGATATGCCCTCTCCACATAATACAGTGTATGGCATTTTGTTCCCATGAGTCCACCTCAATACCTGTATCATTCATGTCTCGCTTGCACATATCTTTATACTATATACTTATCTTTATCAAAAGATAAGTACAATGGTTTGGCCATACATCTTTAGCAAAAAGCAATCTAACCGAGACTCTATAAGGCATTTGCGAATTGTCACCCTTAGAAAGATGGACAGATGGTATAACTGGGGCATTTACTATTACGTCTTCCATAACTTGTTATATCTTATCTCTATAAGGCAAATAGAAGAAGAACTTAACAACTGTTATACTATACCCTCATGAAATCTGATGTAATTAAAAAACTGACACCATTTATGTTCTTGACATCCAAACTCAAGAGAAAAATACAGGTACTGACAATGAAATATTTTCTAAATAGACCACATTAGAAATGACCAAGTCTGTCATATCGTAACTCAACATATTGGTCAACTAAGAATGTCTCTGAACAGTGAAAAGGAGGGAAATGCAATATGGACACCTAATAATATCTACAGGTCTCTCCAAGATGACACTAAAAGATCTGGTATAAAGGAAAAGAGGCTGACCATCAAAAACATGATTACAAAATTTGGCTGACTTGAATGGCCTAAGAAATGTAAACAATAAGTCCACAGAACTGACCAACAAAGCTAAGGGGAATTGGCCCGTTAACTTTGAGTCCCAAGGCATCAGAGGCCCATGGGGTAGTCAAAAGAGACATAAAATCGGTGCATCTTGTGTTCATTGGGCCTTTCAGTAGGAACTTATGAACGTATGATGCGTTCCTTCGGACTCAAAGAGTTAACATCAGCTGGTGACCAAAAGACATGCTGTTTTATGGGACCATGATGATAATAAACAATTATCATCCACGTTATACTATCTCCTAACATTGGTATAATGTGATACAAACATGTATCATTCATGCCATGCTTACTTCTCTTGTGGTTTGATGTAGTTAATACAAACTGTACTTACCATTCTTGTTTAGACTAGCAGTCCTCCCAGCTCCATACACAGTGGGAGCTTTCTCATCCTTGCCAACACTGCTGGGAAAATTGGCAGGTGACACTCATCAACACTGTCTCCAACAAAGACACAACATGACAGATATGGTACAAACTGTCTCCAACAAAGACACAACATGACAGATATGGTACAAACTGTCTCCAACAAAGACACAACATGACAGATATGGTACAAACTGTCTCCAACAAAGACACAACATGACAGATATGGTACAAACTGTCTCCAACAAAGACCCAACATGACAGATATGGTACAAACTGTCTCCAACAAAGACCCAACATGACAGATATGGTACAAACTGTCTCCAACAAAGACACAACATGACAGATATGGTACAAACTGTCTCCAACAAAGACACAACATGACAGATATGGTACAAACTGTCTCCAACAAAGACACAACATGACAGATATGGTACAAACTGTCTCCAACAAAGACACAACATGACAGATATGGTACAAACTGTCTCCAACAAAGACACAACATGACAGATATGGTACAAACTGTCTCCAACAAAGACACAACATGGACAGATATGGTACAAACTGTCTCCAACAAAGACACAACATGACAGATATGGTACAAACTGTCTCCAACAAAGACACAACATGAAAGATATGGTACAAACTGTCTCCAACAAAGACACAACATGACAGATATGGTACAAACTGTCTCCAACAAAGACACAACATGACAGATATGGTACAAACTGTCTCCAACAAAGACCCAACATGACAGATATGGTACAAACTGTCTCCAACAAAGACCCAACATGACAGATACGGTACAAACTGTCTCCAACAAAGACCCAACATGACAGATATGGTACAAACTGTCTCCAACAAAGACACAACATGACAGATATGGTACAAACTGTCTCCAACAAAGACACAACATGACAGATATGGTACAAACTGTCTCCAACAAAGACAACATGACAGATATGGTACAAACTGTCTCCAACAAAGACACAACATGACAGATATGGTACAAACTGTCTCCAACAAAGACACAACATGACAGATATGGTACAAACTGTCTCCAACAAAGACACAACATGACAGATATGGTACAAACTGTCTCCAACAAAGACACAACATGACAGATATGGTACAAACTGTCTCCAACAAAGACACAACATGACAGATATGGTACAAACTGTCTCCAACAAAGACACAACATGACAGATATGGTACAAACTGTCTCCAACAAAGACACAACATGACAGATATGGGTACAAACTGTCTCCAACAAAGACACATCATGACAGATATGGTACAAACTGTCTCCAACAAAGACACAACATGACAGATATGGTACAAACTGTCTCCAACAAAGACAACATGACAGATATGGTACAAACTGTCTCCAACAAAGACACAACATGACAGATATGGTACAAACTGTCTCCAACAAAGACACA